CTCCGTCTCTCTCTCTCTCTCTCTCTCTCTTTCTTTCTTTCTTTCTTTCTTCCCCCCTCTCTTTCCTTCTTTCTTTTTCTTTATTAAGGTATTTTCTTAACTACGGTTTCCTCTTCATGGGTTACTCTATCTTGTGTCAAGTTGACAAAACCTGAACCAAAATCCAACCAAGACATCAACCAACCAAGCTATGGAACCAGGTGAGAAATTGAAAAAGTGGCAAACTACTAAAGCACCAAACTTTTGATCTCCTATGATCAGTAAAGCTATCGGTGCATTATTTCCCAAACACGGGAGCACAAGACAGGAGGCTGGCAAACAGGGAAGGGTCAAAAGAGACATTTGGAATGATAATGAAGACCTTGGGTAGTAAGTGTGCATCGAGTGTGTAGGACAAAGACAACTGAAACTATGACACAAATGCAGAAGTTCACACATCCTCCTGCCTTCCTATCTTCTCTTAGTGATGTAGCCTGTGAAATGCTAGAGGACATGCTCAGATAATGGCATATATATGAAAGTGGGCATCACCCAGGAAACAAGACTCAATCCCAGAAGAAAGGCTTGGCTGAGATAATGGTGGAAGAAAGGTCAGAGACAACAGCTCTGTAGAAACGCATAGAGCTGCAGAGCACAGGGAGTCTCCAGGCCAGAGATCTCATTAAAGAGCAAGAGAGGCAACTGTGCCCAGAAGACAGTGGAGAGAACAGGTGATCTGAGATCCTTGGATTTGAGGGAAACCTTATCAGACAGTGTGGAAAGTTTCCTGAGAGAAAAAATGTAAAAAGAATTAGTCTTGGAGGAGGAAACAGAAGAAAGACAGCATTACTCCAGTATACAGTCTGCACATATTTCCATAGACAAACCTTCATAATTATAGAATATTAATTTAGCACCAGGATTTTTTACATCACTATGCTGAGAGTTTAGGGAAAAGGAAATAGAGAAGATGACAAAGCAAGAAATTCATGGCTAGATGTGGGGTGCACAGCTGCAATTGCAGCACTTGGAATGTGGGAACAGAAAGCAGGAGTTGCAGATCATTCTCTCTCTCTCTCTCTCTCTCTCTCTCTCTCTCTCTCTCTGTCTCTCTGTGTGTGTGTGTGTGTGTGCGCGTGCGCGCGTGCACACACACACACACACACACACACATATCACAGATTAAAAATGACTTTTAAAGCCCCAGAATGTGATTTCTGGAGGCAATCGAAGGTTGACCATCACATTACTTTTAGATCTTGATTTGTCTCTGCCCACGGAAAGAGTGACATGAAATCATCCAGGGTGTCCACCACTGCATCAGCTTGACATTGCTCCAGCTCTGTCTTCCCAGCCAAATCTATGAGACAGGAAAAGGCCATTTTGCATCTACCAACACGCTCAATTTACACTACTACTGATGTATCAAATAGGCGACATGTTGACACTTTAGAAAATCCAAACGGTATAAAATTGTTGTGAGTCAGAAGACAGAGTGGTGGATGGGAGCAAATTCTAAAATTCTTTACTCCATTCTTTGTACAGCCTGAAACATTACAATAAAAATCTGGCTCCAGCTTTCATTATAACATTTCAACTTTAAAAATAATAGAATGCCTTAACCCTGGGACAGCAAAATGCCTCGATTGACAGTCAGACAGGAGCTCAGTCATGGAACCCTAAGTATCACACCATGAAGCTAGATAGGAGATAACCATGGAAACTGCTGCTGCATCCTGGGGGGCACCGGCTCCTGATGATCAAATACCGACTGTGGTTAAGCTACCTGCTGAGGCTACAATGCATTGTTTCTTGTTTCAGTTTGTTGGCTGGCATGTTCCTCCCTGCGGCTAAAATCCCTTCAAACTGAAACATTTTCTTAGAAAGAAAGCAGAGGCTCTATCTAACCTCGAGAGGTAAACAAAAAAGAAAATTGGAATTAAAAAAGGAAAAATAAAGTTACAAAAACTTGCAAGATTCTTTAGATGTTTAAAAATTTTTTTTTTTGAATTCTTATGTGCATGTATGTATGCAAGTACTCCTCATGCCAGCAATTCAGAAGAGCCTGTTGAATCACCAACAGACAGTCGTCCTAAGATGCCATATTGAGTGCTGGGAACACAGCCCGGGTACTCTGGTAGAGCAGCCAAGTGCTAGTAATTGCCGAGTCATTTCTCCAGCCCCAATTTACAAGATCTTCAAAGCCTTCAATATAGAAAAAGAGTAAACACTGACTGAGATTTCTTTAATTTTGTCATCATTTTTTTTTCCTAACAAGTCATTGATCTTTCTAATCGCTTCCTCTCTGATGTCAATTGGTAATGAGTCCGTGTTAGAGTCTTGTAAAATTGACTCCTTTTGTACAGCGGTACCAAATTACTAAGCTCAAGGTAATCTATGCTGCTGATGCACGGCTCAGGTAAACTACCCCAAGGTGAAGCTGTTCAGGGGTGAAAGAACATGCTTGCTTCACTGACTTGTAACTCTTACGTATGATTTCCAAGAATTGATTCTCCTCCCTAGCCTGAAAAAGCCTGTCACAGTCTGGCCCCCCCCCTCCCCCCCCCCCCCCCCCGCAGCCCTGGCTTGACTTCTATGATCCAGGGTTTGGCAGTTACTTTCCATCAGGTGATGCCTCCATCCATCGACATTTCTACTTCTAAGCTGCAGGTGCTCTCAGTCACCTTTGAAAATATTTGGAGCTTTCTTCCTTCTTTAACTTCCGACATCAAATTACCCAGACGCTTCACCTCAAATCTACTGTTCCCTGTTCATTCCGTGAGGGCATGTCTCCTATTGTGAGTGGGCCCTCCAGAAGCTAAGAAGCTCAAGCACGTTCTGAAAAAGAGACATTCCTTGCCTGTCGACCTGTGGCTGGAAAACCTGATCTGGTAACGGGTATTGAGATCAAGGAAGGTCTTTACAAAGAACTGAGAAGTGCTAGTGCTAGTGGGTGTTTGTGACACACACGCACACACCTTCACGCCCCCCACCTTCACCCCAGTGCTCGTCTGAGAATGACAAAATGTGTCTACTGTGCCTTCTAGCCCATCTCAGCTGCCCAGCCCTGCAGAGGTTCTGCATACTTTCTCGGTTTCTCCACACTCCTCTCTTTGAGTTCCCCCTACTGTGTGCCTAGCTGTCAGGTCAATCAAGAAGAAGCTATCACCAGAATAATTGTCCTATAGTCATTCCTGATCATGCTAGGGAAGTCCATGTCCTGGATTTTCTAACCAGATTCGGTGCATTTTGCTAAGTAAACCTCCTTCTGTACCCTACAAACACGAAGGGTTTGTTGTTATTGTTGTTGTTTATTTGTTTGTTTTTTTCTTGTGGCTTTTTCTGTTGACTTGCAGTACTGAAAGTCTGGTGAATTTAAATGAGATCCATTTGCCCGCCTCTTCAGTACTATTAGGAAACCCTTAATAATGCAAACTTTTCAGGGTCGTCCCTGAATGAAATCTGGAAGCAAGGAAGAGTGGATGGATTCTATGCAGCCCCCAGGAGACCTTGATGTACATAAAAGGGTGTAGGCCTTGGAACCCTAGGTATCCTCTGAGGCTCCACTTAAATATACCTTTCTTTTCTAAGCCCAACGTCCATAGATGTATTCCATTTCCTCTGACTCTTTTCAAGTCTCACTTGTTGAAATATCTGCTAGTATACCTATTCTTGTGCTTAAACCTTTTAAAATTAATTTTATTTATTTATTTTATGTATATTGTTATTCTGCCCTCATATTCATTGTAGGTGAGCCTGGTGCCCACAGAGGACAAAAAATCATGATAGATCAACCAGGGGCTGGAGAGATGGCTCAGTGGTTAAGAGGTCCTGAGTTGAATTCCCAGCAACCACATCGAGGCTACGACCATCTGTTATGGGATCTGATGCCTTCTTCTGGCGTGTCTGAAGAAAGCTACAGTGTACTCACATACATGAAATAAATAATTCTTTAAAGAAAAAAAGATCAACTAGACCTGGAGTTATGGATGGCTGTGAACCACCACTTGGATGCTGGGATCCCAGGCCTCTGCAAGAACGACAAGTGCTCTTAATGCCAAGCGGAGTCTCCAGCCCCATGTTTATGTTTAAAACAAACAACCTTTCCCACCAGATGGAGTCTAATCATCATGGGTCACTTGGGTGCTCAGTGTGCTTGGATAATGTAGTGGTGGCAGTCGGGTGGAGTGGACAATGCTAATTCTAGTAGATTATTTAAAAAGAAAAAAATCTTTAAAAGAAGTCCAAAGTTGCTTTCTTACTATTTTTTTTTTTTAAGTGGGACGAGCAGGAGAAGGGAGCAGGAAGCGGAATATGATGAGAGGAAGGCAGGTGCCATCTCTGTTTTCTCTACTCACTGCCATGATGAGGTGTTAAGGAAGCCTCAGGTGGTACCCAGCAGAGGCAAGGATGCCACCTTCCTGTGTTTTTCAACACTTAGAATGAAGGACACTGAATTATGATTCCAACAGTCCAACAAGTTCCAGCTTTCCTGTTCTGTATGCATTTCTGGCTATTTTTGTCTGAATCATGATACTTAATGCTAGCATGACATACCAATCCAATTTTCCAGCTATATTCTAGAAAGGACATGATGGCAATGTGGTGTAATATAGGATGGGCAGGTACAATATAAAATGAGGTTACTGATGTGATAGCACATGCTTGTCATCCAAGCCCTGGGTAGGCTGTTACAGAAAGATAAAGCATTTAAGGCCAGTGTGAGCTATACAGCGCATACCAGGCAAGTCAACACTACATAGTAAGACCTGTATATAAAAATATAAAATAATAAAATAATACAGCTGCTTAAAGCATTCACAGAAAGTTCTACTAACAGATGATACTTTTATATTGTTCTAATCTTCATAGCCATTCTTAATTGCACCATACTTAAATAATACAGCTGTTGAAGAAATATTAAAGAAACATCACATTTTTTTCAGTTATTTAAGGCCTTAACTAATAACAAGTGTATTACCTGTGTTTTTAGTCAAATATCTTGCTATTGCAAGGCTCTGATGAAGTGTAAGTCCTTCCACCTCCAAAACAGGGATTTTACCAAATGGAAGAGCTGAAACAGAACAAATGGAAGCTCAACCTCAGAGCAGAGCAAAAAAGAATGAGAAACAAGGTGTCATTTAAAGTCTGTAGATACACACATATATTCTGTATTTATAGCCGGTAGTGGTGGCATACACCGGTAGGATTTGCTGAAGGAGGCAGAGGCAGGAGGATCACGAGTTCAAGGCCAGCCTGGGCTACACATTTTGGCGGGTGGTGGTGGCGTACACCTTTAATCCCAGCAATTGGGAGGCAGAGGCAGAGGCAGGCAGATTTCTGAGTTCGAGGCCAGCCTGGTCTACAGAGTGAGTTCCAGGACAGCCAGGGCTATACAGAGAAACCTGTCTCAAAAAAACAAACAAACAAAAAGAATTATATACATAATAAACTTATATATGTACATAAAAACATATATATGTATGTATACACACATATAAACTTTAAAATATACTTACCTTTAAAAAATACTATTCTGTTTGATCTCTATCCAAGTCCCTCAAAACATTTCCTCTTAAACAGGACAATTTCACATTCTCTGGTGCAGTCTTTACATTTTGTTAGCTTTCAAAACTGGATATAAAGTCAGTTAGAGAACTGATTGTAAAAATCATGTTTCTGGGTGGGGCTTGCACCTCAGTTGCCTAATATGCACAAGCCCCCACAAGTCTCTGGGTTTGATCCCCAGCACAGCGTAAACAGGGTGTGCTGGTTTATGCCTGTAACCTTAGCACTTGTGAAGTGAAGCCAGTAGGATCATGAGTTCAACATCATTTTAAACTTGATACTCTGGTCAATGTGAGAATTAGTCTCAATTAAAACAAACAGGAAAACTAACAATAACACAACTGTTTACAGGGATACCATGTGCTGTGCTGTTGCATTGTCGAATTATAGACTGACTTATAAATTTACTACTTTTTAAAAGATTTACTTATTTTTATTTGTTTTTGTGTTATGTGTGTTTTGCCTGTATGCATGTATGTGCACCATGCATGTGCAAGTGTCTTTGGAGGCCAGAAGAGGGAATGAAATCCCCCTGGAACTGGTTACAAATGGCTGTGAGCCACTACATGGGTACTGGAAACTAAATCCCAGTAAGAGCAGAAACTTCTCTTAACCACTGAGACATCTTTCCAGCCACATATTTACCTTTTATAAAAGCCTGTGTTTAAAAGCTTCATTAATATCATAGTCTCAAAACAGACCACACGGATTTGTTTAAAACATATTCCAACAATTAAAGAGTTTGAGTTAACACAGAAGCGAAGGAAGTTCTAATCCTAGTCTTATTTTGATGACGAGCAATTTGAAGTATATAGTAAAAGATGGAAGCATTTTGTACAAATATAAGTTATAGCAGACAACAATGCTTTATCAGCAAATTTTACTTTTTTTTTACTTGAACTTTTTTACATCTGTGAGAAAGCTTTATTAATTAATAAAATTTAAAACAAAATATCTGAACTAGATAGCTATAGTGACCGTAGCATTCTGATTAATATTCTGTGTTGTGTGAGTCACCCTTGTCAATGTGATTAGATTGAGAGAGGTCTACATTTGGATTCACATCTTTCTGTGAGGATCTTTCCACAGATGATCAGATCACGAGTTTCTGATCCAGTGAATAGTTTATTCTACTCAGCGATTCTAGCTTCGGACGTGTGGAAAGTAGGGCCTTGCTGGCGGAAGTGGACTTCGGGACCTTGTCTTTCATCTTGGTGGTAGCATCCTCACTATTTTCTCTCTGCTCCCAGCTCTCACCTGGTGAGCATCTCTGCTCCATCATACCCTTTCCATCATGGTGTTTTTCTTCCTCAGGGCCCAAGCAGTGAGCTGACTGCACTGACACTATGAGAATATTCTGCTTTCTTTAGTTTCTTCCCTCATTTCTGTCACAACCGTGAGAAACTAACATAAATGTTAAAAATAAAGGGTAACTTATATGATACTATTCAAAGCTCTTCTTTTCACTTGATGGTAACTTTGAAATTTTTCTGACTCAGCGGACCACCATTATTTCAATGACCATGATGTGTGTGAAGAAGCTCCCCTAGGTGCTTTTCTCACGGCTCACATAGCTTCCCTTCCTCCATGCTCTTTCTCCTGGCCTGACAGAAAAGGCAAGGCCTGGCACTGAAATATTGCTATCCCCGTTTTTCATAGTGGCACTCCCTAACGAAACATCCGCCAGCTTGAGAACTTGAGAATAGCCAAAGGCAACAACTCTCAGCCTCCCCACCCCCCACCCCACCCCTGTCGTTGAGGCTGGCACCCTCCCTGATAGATGGCTAAGCACTTCCCAGTGCAGGTGGCTCCTGTCCTGGGGAGAAGTGAAGACCAAACATCCTTGGAGAGGTAAGTGATGTACTTTGGGCCATGAGAGAACAATTAAGTGTCCCTAACAGCTGTAGTCAGTTTGTAAAAACACTAGTTCCTGATAGCACCGTCACCTCCCCTGTTACATAACCCCAAAGTCTAAGAATCTCTGCTTATGTATAAAAACTCCAAGCCTCTAGATGCGTGGTCACATTCCTAACCCTTGCTGTGGGAAGTGCTCGCAACCTGAGCCTGGTTCGAATAAAGACTGTTGTTTCACTACATCAGGTCAGCAGTTCTTAGAGCTTTTCTCAGACCTGGGAATAACATGAGTAGCCGTGTGTGTACTGACTCCAACTTCCCAGACAGTATCTTAGGTTTGAGGTAGTTATTTTGAGCTAATTGGATTTGAACATAATTAGTTTGGAAAGAAGTAAAAGCAATAAAGTATCGCTCATAAGTCATGTACCCCACACAAGGACTGGGACCAGACAACTATACGCATATCACATCCGGTGAGTTCAAGGTCAGTTTCTTTCACTTTTCAAAGAAGCACAGCTTTGAGTACTGAGCCAGTGAGTACATCAAATGCTGTTCAAGGCCCTGAGCTGCCATAAGCAAAACAGAGAGATCCAAATAAAACGGATGTGACCGGAAGGACTTCATTTGCAGCACGGGTGTAGACAAAAGGGAGGTGGCATTCAGAACTTGGAAGGGAAGCTCGGAAGTGGTGCTAGAAATTTAACATACTCATCAGTCCTCAAGCATTCTACCCTGAGAAAGGACTGTTAACTAGGGACTCCTTGTATAAACAAGGAGCTGATGTTTGGAGAAGTTTATGGAAATTAGCAGATCATGCCCTGGGTGGAGGTGCTGAGGTCAGTTGACCAGCTGTTTCCCTATGGTTCTATGAGCCATCTATTGAGAAAGAAGATAAAAACCAGAGTAAGCCCAGAGAACTGTAAGCATCTGTTTTGCTTACCTGAACAGATGCTTCTCAGTGTTAAGCTCTGTGTGGGATTAGGTTTGCATTTCAACGGAAAGCCTTGAAATACACTCTCCCTGCACAAGGCTGAACAGTTTGTGACACTTACTTGGCTTGATTTTAGGCCAGTCAGTTTGTTCTATTCTGTGATCTTCATACTTTATGTCCAAATAAGCGAATATGTAACGAATAATCTCAGCTCTTCCCCTCATATTAAAATAAAGCAGTTTGTAGTTTGGCATGGTACAATTCTGGAAAGAGAGAAAAAGGAGGTGGCTTTTATTGTTTTCACTTGTTAAAAATCCTTTGATGTTTTCATAAACGTATGCAAATACAATGGATTTTAGTCATTCTTGCCAATTATTCTCTTTCATCCCTCCTCCCCCTCCCCCTGGAACTATTCTTTCTAACAAAGCTTGAATTCATTGTTTGCTCAAAAACATACAAAGGTATACCAAAGAAAACTCATAAAAGTTTAATGACTTACATTTAATAGATATAGGTATGGGATGCATAGCATTTTTATAACACAGTTTTATAATGACCAGGCAACTGATGGACATTTTCACAGGAGACTGAGTTCTACTAAATTGCTCTGTTTTTGGACTAGCTTATAGAGATTCTCTAAATTTTAAGGTCAACTTTAAAAGCATAGATATTAATATACATTTGAAAACTAAGACTTTTTTCTTTTCTTTCTTTCTTTCTTTCTTTCTTTCTTTCTTTCTTTCTTTTTTTTTTTTTGGTTTTTCGAGACAAGGTTTCTCTGTATAGCCCTGGTTGTCCTGGAACTCACTCTGTAGACCAGGGTGGTCTCGAACTCAGAAATCTGCCTGTCTCTGCCTCCCAAGTGCTGGGATTAAAGGTGTGTGCCGCCACCGCCCGGCCGGAAACTAAGACTTATATATATAAAAGTCTTAATATAATAATAAACCATTACTAGCATTAATAATTACCTGAACTCTCATGTTATAAACCAGAATAATCATTGACTACCATATACTGATGCAATAATTGTAGCAGTTACATGAAAATTGTTCATTTAAAATGGTGAATTAAAATGGTTTGTGGTGAAGTGGCTCAGCTGGTTAAAAGCACCTGCTGGGCAGACCTGAGTTCAATACCTGGAACCCATGTAAAAGGGTGAGATGCAGCAGCTCCTGTCTGTGTCCTAGTTCCAGTGCTGCTGTGGTAAGATGGGGTATGGAGAATGGGCCTCAAGCTTAGTCTATGCAACAAAAGAGATCTTGCCTAAAGAACAAGATGGACAGAGAGATAATTCCTCCAAATCCAGTAAACTTGCTAGCTGTCTAAGCCTGGCCACCTACATTCTATCTCCAGAACATTCCAGAACATTCATGAAGGTGAGGAGAGAGAACTGACTCCAAAAGATGTCCTTTAACTTCCACATATATACTATGACACACATGCATTATGTACACACACACACACACACACACACACACACACACACTATTTAATTAAAAATGTAAAGTGATAAAGATCCTTTAAAATATACATTATGAAATTATAATTCTTACTAGAAAATGAAAATGTTTTTGTTATAACTTCTTGATATATTTATTATTATTTTTTTTAAGATTTATTTATTTATTATATATGAATACACTGTAGCTGTCTTCAGACACACCAGAAGAGGGCATCAGATCTCATTACAGATGGTTGTGAGCCACCATGTGGTTGCTGGGATTTGAACTCAGGACCTCTGGAAGTGCAGTCAGTGCTCTTAACCACTGAGCCATCTCTCCAGCCCCGATATATTTATTTTATATTTCAAAGAACAAAATAGCTTACAGAGTGTGAAACTGTTATTCCTAGTTGTAGTTTGCATTGAAGAGCTTTTTATAAAAGTTGGTTAGCATATATAAATATACTTCTCCTTACATACATAGTATATATGTGTGGGACGCGCGTGTAATCGTCTCGCCAGCAAGAACGCACACGCACACACATCAGGATCCTTCCGTAGGAACATGTTTATTCCCAAAAACAAAATGGTGGAAGAAGACGCCAGGCCCGGGAAAAGCACTGCTTATATACCCTTAGAGCGGTGTATTCACCTCTGACTGGCTGCTTACTCGTTGCGCGCCAAAACGCCGTGGGATGGGCTTTAACTTTGGCGGGCTTTTACCATGGCACATGCGCAATTTACTTGTTTACTAGGAAGAATCCCGGAAGCCAGAGCCATCTTCCAATGGCGGATTTTGCCAGCACCCGCCGCGGCTTCCTACATCTGCCCCTTTTTTGTTTTATTGCAGAGGGTGGTAGTAGAGATCCCTGGGAAAGTTTCGTAACTCCCATATTTGGGGGTCTCACGGCGGGTCTGAGTCTCTTTGGAGGGCGGTGCTCAAACTCTTACCCATCACTGGGTCAGCCTCCCCACCCGGGGCTGCCCTGTCTTAGGTGGCCGAGGCTTATCCGTCCGCTCCGTTATTGACTTACCAGACCTTCTATCCGTGGAATGAACACCTTAGTGGGCAGGGACTGTGTATAGATATGTTTGAGCCTTTATAGGGTGACTATACCAGAAGCCCTTGAAGACAGCGGCTGAGGAATCTGTCTACTGGCTATTTCCTTTTGTTTTGTTAAACAGGCACTGGTCAATGTCCCGTGTCTTAGGCTAGCTGACGTTTTTCCACGCCCAGCACCAATAGGGCTAACACCGAGGAAAGGCGAGCCACCCTGTCTTAGGCTACGAGGAATATACCCGCGCCCGGGTCATTGCCACTCGCTAATCCCGTCATGGGGTTGGCTTGCCATCAATTCCCCAGTTGTCCTCATGGTGTATATCTGGCATGTGGCGTCAGCCTATTTCCCGTCATTGGGACCAATGGCAGCTGGCCTGGAGACGAAAAGATGGAGCTGTCTATCTGGCTGTCCTTGGCCTGTCTAGCGTGGTACCAGTCATGACTCAAACTCAAGCCCGATCAAGCAAATTCCGTCTTGGGGGAATAAGCGATCAAGGACTAATAGTTTAAGACAGTCTCCCTTACCCTATCAGGTGCAATGGAAGCAAGTCCTCTGAGTGGAAGGGCTAAGGGAAACAGAAAGAGATGCAAACACCCATCCCTGTGCAATGGAGTCATCTCCTAGGGGTGCAAGGGCTGTTTGCCTCAAAATTCAGGTACCACAGCTACACAGACAAGGACCAGCCAGGCCAAGACTCCTCACCGACCCAGTGCAATGGGCAAATCCTTTGGGGTGCAATGGCTGATGTCCCAACATTTAGCACCACCACTAGTGAGGGGGAGACTACTTATTTTCGAAGCAGTGATAACCACACTGCAGGGGAAGCCCCTAGTTCTTTGGTCACAAGCGCCTGTGCAATAATAGCCTTGTCAAGATTTTGTTGAGCTCTGAGTTTGCAAGTCAACCAAAAAATGAACACTAATCCGCAACATAGGGCATACCAAACAGGCCTACTCCCACCCACTTAAAAAAAAGAAAAAGAAAGAAAAGAAAAGGAAAGCTGAAGAATCTAGGACAGTCTCTCAGTCGGGGACAGATCCACGAGCGTCGAGTTGATGTTCACCACAGCTGCTCTCAATTTTCTGAGTGTCTCATTGAAGTTTTCTGACCAATTTCCTGTAAGATATTGAAACAATTTTTTGGACAGATTAGCTACATTATGTCTGACTGGTATGGGTTTTGGAAAGGCAGATAATATGGTCCATCGTTGTTCCCCCGATATACTATGAACCTGTATCCCTTGGATCAGCACAAGGGCTGTCATCAGAGTTTGGAGGGTCCGCTTGGGTGTCACCTTCTAATATCGCGAGTCATCGCGTCAGCCGCTCTGGTAGCCAAAACGGGTTGTCTTTTTCCTGTGGAAAGATACAAACCACTCCCCTGGCTTTTATTAAAATAGAATCTGGACCTTTTCATTGTCCGGTCAAGATGTCTTTTTATTTGACCATTTCTTTTGGCCTGTCAGGCTCTAAAATATTGAGGGTAAAAAGTGTTTATCTATCCCTCATCAGTTAATTGTCAAGGGAAATTAGGACTTGTATCTCCCTTGAGAATATCCAACAGAGGTTTATGTTCTTTTATGGTAAGCTGAAGATGAGGTTTTAGCCAATTAATATCTGCTGTTAACAACTTTTGAGAATCATTAAAAGTAAACTATTTTTTGTATGTACACTTGTAAACCAGAAGATGGCACTAAATCCCACTACAAATGGTTGTGAGCCACCATGTGGTTGCTGGGAATTGAACTCAGGACCTCTGGAAGAACAGTCAGTGCTCTTAACCGCTGAGCCATCTCTCCAGCCCCAATTATCTACTCTTATTGAAATTTTCTGTGCCACAATTGAATTCTCAGATATTGAAAAGATATTGTCTTTGAATCTTTTCTGGAGCAACAAGTACTTTAAAATCTTAAAGCTCATTGTACTAGAGCAAAGGCTTGCAGAAAAACTCCTTTAGAGAGATCAGCCAATAAAATATACAATGAATAATATATACTGAGAGATTTAGACGCTTTAACCTTTTCTATTAAAGCAACAACAATTTTTTTAAGGCCATTAATCATTCTTTGAGGCAAGCTTTTTTAATGAATGGCTTCATGGGCTCTCAAAAATCACAAGCAATTTCACTTAATGTAAACCTCTCACCTTTACCAGGAGGTAAAGGAACTGTATAAAACAATCTTCTAAATCTATAATAATTTTATATGTATTTACTAGAACGGCAGTTGGAGTAGGCAAGTCAGGCTGTGGTGCCCCATTAGTTTTATAAATCTTAAATTTGAACTTTGTTTTTGGTTTGGTTTTTTTTGTTTTGTAGACCAGGCTGGCCTCGAACTCAGAAATCTGCCTGCCTCTGCCTCTCAAGTGCTGGGATTAAAGGCATGCGCCACCACTGCCCAGCTCTTAAATCTAAGCTTCTGCTTCACCCATTTTGTACAAAGTCTTGATTCAAATGTAAATGTTTTTAATCTTGGCCTATATCCTGAGGCCTGGCCCAAGGATTATCCTTCCTGTACCAAGGACAAGTTTCAGTCAAGTAACCTTGGTCACCTGACTGTTGCTCAAGCCTCTGTTCCTGGGACAGTCACTTTAAAAACTATCTAAATTTTCACATTTAAAACACCCCCCATCCCTATGGCTCTGTGCAAGCTATGTCCAGACCCTGATTGTATGAGGGCACAATTTCATCGGAAAGACGAATGTATCTAAGTCTGTCTTTGCTTGTAAGGTCTGAGAGCTGTGTAGGCAGTTTAACCTGATTA